GGGCTCTAGGTGGAAGCCTTACGCTGGCCTTGAAGTCAGTGAGACAGAGGTGGGGGTGGGGCTGAGGTCCCCTGATGATAATTATACTCCAGTGTATTGACCTGCCTGCTTGTAATGAACAGAGAAGCAGGCAGCTGCAGCCAGGGAAATTCCTGTCCTCTTTGGATGGCTGAACCCGAACATCCCTAAGGAGACGTTCGCTGGCCCTCTGGCTATGGGAGGAAGCTACCGTCCTTAGCTTTCAATTCTAGGCCCTCCATTGTTTGGCTCAAAATCATCTTCCAACTCTTCTCCCAATCCTCTTCCCAACTCAAAATTTGAATTTTTTTGATCCAGGTGGATCTCCTCAACAGTCAAAAATCTCTGGCTGGGCCATTCCTGCCTCTGTCCTTCGGCTCTTGCAGTTCTCCCCAGCTCAGATGTCTCCTGTTCTGTTATCCAGCAACGTAAATCCTCGTCATTCTCAAAGAGCCCGTTCAGTTTCTTCCCACGTAAAAACTTCTCTGATGAACATTTGACCTGTGTATTCATTTCCCTTACACACTTACAGGTTCTTTCAGCAAATAAGCTGTTATGAACAGGAAACCTCGCTAAGCACTTTGGGGAGATATAAGATGTAAATCATTCTGCTCAAGTTTAGAGAATTTAGAGATTAAGAGTGGAGACGAGTCACACACAAAAACTAGTAGACAGGGTATTGTTATTAAACAGAGACAGATAAATTATTACTAGACAGGTATAGATAAGTTGTTCTGATCATTCAGAGGAAGGTATTAGACATTGTTATTAGGCAGGTGCAGACAAATTGTTCTGATCATTCAGAGGAAGGTATATTTCCTCGGGAGGATGTTGGAAAAAGCTTAAAGGCTGAGCAGAACCGAAACAGGTCAAGAAATGGACAACCCGAGTAAACGAAGGAAAGAACAGTCTAAGCAGTGATATTAGAGCGAGAAGATAAGAAAGGAGACCTGCAGACTGAAAAGGCATTTGGGCGGCTGTAATTTAGAATATGTAGAAGTAAGACAGAGTGTGTGGGAGAGACGTGGAAAGGGCCCGTGGTGACCTGCTGAGCCCTGGTCTCTAACCAGATTTGTTGGCATTTTTAATATGCACTTCTGTGCATACTTACATGTCATGTGCTTGTGTCCTCTCGTTTGTGCATGTCTCGTTTCTACAACCTCATCGACAGCGGGAGCAGCGGTGAAGTGTGCTTCTCAGGACTTCTACCTCCCCCTGCTAGCAGGGGTTCAGCCTCTGCACGGGGCTGTTTAACTGGTGTCCTTAGTGGAAACCCCAGGAGATGCTTTGTGTGTCTTCACAGTCTCGGGTGGGGACTGAGACAACTGGACACACAGAGCATAGAAAAACCATCTGGCAGGAGAGTGTGGAATGGCTTGGGGCTGTGGTGGTTGAGGGTGAGATTGGAGGTCAGGAGGACAACGCAATGATGACAACGAGAAATGGTGAGACCCTCAATAAAGGCAGTGGCCATAGAAATGGAGAGGAGGGGGTGGGCTTTGGGGACAGCTAATGACAGTCGTGACTGAGGAAACATGTAGCTGATTGCACGAAGGGGCAAAGGAGGTGGAGGGTACCTCACAGAATGTGACCTGATTTCCCTCTTCTGTGGCAATGTCATTGGCTAAATAAGGGAGACAAAGAAGGGGCTTTTAATTTCTGTGTGTGTTTTTGGCAAAGAGGGGAACGGTAAGTTGAGTTTGGACCTAGACGAGGTTTAGTTGACTGACCGACCCTGCGTGAGCTTTCTAGCCGGGTTTGCGTGAGTGCCTCAGTTTCCCCTCTTTGCCGTTTGACCTCGTGTGCCCTCCCGGAGCCCTGTGAGATGGGGAAGGCAGGAAGGAGGAAGGGGAAGGGACAGCTGGCTGGGGGCGATTCCGTACCCCGCGCTGGGCTGCACGTGGATGCCCGATGCCCCCCAGCCCCGCAGCACGTGCAGTCGCTGCTGCCGACGGGGCGCTCGCAGCCCGCGGGCAGCAGCAGCGTCCCCCGGGCAGGCCTCTCACGGGCGCCCTCGTTCCTCCCCAGGCTTCCGTCTGCACCGCGGGCTGCCGCGCCTGGTGCCCGAGAGCTGCCTGCTCATCCTCGTGGGCGCGCTGGTGGGCGCCGTCATCTTCGGCACCGACCACGCGTCGCCTCCGGTCATGGACACGAGCGTCTACTTCCTGTACCTGCTCCCGCCCCTCGTGCTGGAGGGCGGCTACTTCATGCCCACGCGGCCCTTCTTCAAGAACATCGGCTGCATCCTGTGGTGGGCAGGGCTGGGGGCCCTGATCAGCGCCCTGGGCATCGGCCTCTCGCTCTACGCCGTCTGCCAGGTGGCGGCCTTCGGGCTGCGCGACGTGACGCTGCTGCAGAGCCTGGTGTTCGGCAGCCTGATGTCGGCTGTGGACCCGGTGGCCGTGCTGGCCGTGTTCGAGGAGGCGCGCGTGGATGAGCAGCTGCACGTGATGATCTTCGGGGAGTCCCTGCTCAATGACGGCGTCAGCGTGGTGAGCCCGCGGGGACACGGGGCCCGAGTGTGACTCGGCGGCTGCAGCGCCGGGTGGGCTTCGGCCGTGCTGGTGGCCCCAGGGCCGGCGACTTTCCTGAGGGTCTGCGCGGTGGACACAGCTGCTCAGTGACGCTGCTCATGAGCTCATGAGTGGAAAGGGCTGCACAGTTCCTTAGTTACATCTGATTCCGCACTTAGCAAGCAGAAACCATTGCGAACGGCCCCTTTGGGCGTTCACACTAGCAAAAGCAGAAGCTTGGGTTTCTGTCACCCCCACTCCCTTTATAATTTTTTTTTTGAACATGCTGCAATAGATGAAGTTAAATAAAAGGTAGGGGTCAGGGAAGAGATGACAGAGGATTTGCAAAAATGGGTTAACTTATATATCACTCGAGTGCATGACTCCTGTGTAAAATATGAGCAGGCATTTTTCTGTTGGGGTCCTTCTGGGCACAAGCTGAGAAGGACTGGCAGGCTGGGTGACCACGCAGCATGAAGGCTCCGGAGCTGTCTGGAGGCTGGGGGTGCGGAAGTCTTCAGGACTAGCCAGTCCTGTGGCTCAGCTGCATTAACAACTACAAACCTTCACCATTTATGAGTCTATAAGACTTTTGTGTGTACTTTCATGTGCTTTTGTTTTCTTAAAATTATGTAACATCACATAAGTGATACCAGAATGCATTTTCATTGCAAAAGATTCCAACAGGGTAAAGTTATACAGCATAGACACAAAGGCCTCCGCGTGCCTTCTCCTCACTCTGCATGGAAGTGGCAGCCACTTTGATTACTCTGGTGTTTGTCCCCCAAGTCTTTATTATATGCACGAACATATGTAGATGTAGATGGACATATATTTTACATAAATTGGTGGGATTATATTATACCTATAGCTTTGATGCAACAATTCTTGGAATTCTTCCTACGTCTTTGCAGCTCTTGTGTAGTATTTTATAGATTCTTTACTATAACTTATTTAACCATTTCCTGATGGATGGTTGTTCAGGTTATTCTAAATTTTTCACGCCTACAGACAATGTTTCAGTGAATATTCTTCTTTGTTCAGATTTTCTTTTCTTGCACTTGTGAGTGTTTATTTGGGATATAGTCTTAGAAGTAAAATTTCCATGTTAAAAAGTATGTATATTTAATTTTGAAAGATACTGTTATAATCACTTATATTCACCCTATTGATGAATAAGAGATTCTCACCCTAGTGTTGTGGGAATGGCTGAACACATGACACTGGACAGATGAGACTGACAGCAGATTATTACTCACATATGCTCACAGCTTAGGGGAGGAAGACACTGCATGCCACACAGGGTCACCCAGGGGCTGCGCACGGGAACAAAGTGAAGAACCAGGCGCTGTGGGAGTAGCAAGAGGGTGAGGTGAGGCTTTGTAGTAGCAAGAGGGTGAGGTGACTCCTGCTCTCCCAGGAGGGTGTGACGGACGTGTCTGGATGATTCCACAGGCTGGCAGGGAACTAAACCCTCTCCTCGGTTACAAGCAGGATGTGCGCCTGGTCCCCTTGGTAAGGAGGCTGGTTTGGCGAGGGGACCTTGTTGCAGGATGGGAACTTGGGTTAGGCCATTCAAGGCCTTTCTGGTTTTGCCACATGTCAGGGTAGCACATAATATTGGATCTCAGTTTTAGGACTGCCAAACTGCTGCCAAGATTTTTTAGAAAGTCTTTATCAGTGCACTTCCATAGGGTATCAAGTGCATATTTTCTTGTATCCATGATGACAAGGGACATTGTTTTCTTAATGGTTTCCAATGTAGTGAGTTAAAAAAGCTGTCTCATGTTTGTTTTCATTTTCATGATCATATTCAGCATATTTTCAAAGATTGTGGATCGTTAGTGTTTCTCATGCTGTATGAGTTGGAAGTTCATGTCCTCTCAGGGTTGAGAGATTTTTTTTAATGTCCGTAATTTTTAGATTAAATTTACAAATAAAATTTTGGTAAGCAATATGTAAGTTTTTAATATAAATATGTCTCAATTGTTGCATAGCATCTTGACCATTTTGCTTTGGGGCCACTTGCCTTTTTTTTTTTTAAACTTGATTTGTAGAAAGTCATCAAATTATGTAAATTTTAAAACTTTGACTATTACAGAAAAACCAAATATTCTCTCCCATTTGGTCAGTTAAACTTTTTAGATTATGGTGTCTTTTATCCTATAAAACTTTTAAACTTTTACATACTCAAACCTACTAATGTACTCTTTTATTGCTCCTGGTTTTCATATTTTGCTTTCAGGGATTGTGCCTAACCAAAGAGCATGCAAACATTATGTTTTTCATTTTCCTTCCTTTTACAGTTAACTATTTAATTCATCTGGCATGCAATATTTTTTTGTGAAAACTTTTTGCAAAAATAGTACAGAAAGGAAAAAGATCTTGAAAAATAGTCTGAAATATCTGGGTAGATTCAGCAAATGAAGGAGACCCATACACGAAGCCAGAAGTCAGGTTATTTATTTGTGATGAGAATCCCTTCCTGTAAAGAAGACACTAGAGTCCTCAGGCCTGCACATTCTGCCCTTCTGAGCAAGCTTCAGAAAAAAGCCAGGTTGTCAGAAAGCTGCCAGGGGAGCCTGGGTTCCAGAGTGCTGTAGGATTCAGATATTTCATGCCTCAGAATCACCTGCTGGGCTTGGTGCATATTCAGGCATCCAAACCCCATCCCAGACTCCCTCGTTCTGACTGTATGGGAGCAGAGCCTGGGAATCTATATTTTTAAGGAGCACCTCTGATGATTGTTGAAGTTTGAGAACTACTGATTTATTGCCTTTAGGTTGAGAGAACTGATGTGTCTTGACCTCAAATGGTGATATACCTGGAACGAGTGCACACCTGTCCTTGCAGACCGGGCTAGGTTGGTCTCGGAGATCCCCCTCGCCCCTTCTGTAGATACTTGCACACTTTCTGTTTGGGCACAATGGAGTAAGTGGCCTCGTCTGGGACTCCACTCCCTCTCCTAAGGAGCCCCTGCGCCATGACGTGCTCATCTCCAGAGATGACGTCGTCTCGCTCGCATCCACGTTCTCCAGCGTTGCTCGCTTACTCTCACCCCACCACTGGCGGTGCCCTTGAGAGCGTCCATCTGTGACAGCATCAGGGCCACCCCGTCAGCCTGCACAGAGGCAACCATTCAACCTCTCCTTCACAAATTATCAGAGAGGTCTAGAAACCAATTTGAAATACCACCTCTTTCATTTCCACAGAACACACTGTTTCTTCATTGGGAACTCCACTATATGATCTTGGCAAAAATCCTTGCCAAGAAATAGTCTTTATCAACTTCCAGGAAGCCAGAAGTCAGGTTATTTATCTGAGATGAGAATCCCTTCCTGTAAAGAAGACACTAGAGTCCTCAGGCCTGCACGTTCTGCCCTTCTGGGCAAGCTTCACAAAAAAGCCAGGTTGTCAGAAAGCTGCCGGGGTAGCCTGGGTTCCAGAGTGCTACAGGATTCAGATATTTCGTGCCTAAGAATCACCTGCTGGGCTTGATGCGTATTCAGGCATCCAAACCCCATCCCAGACTCCCTCATTCTGACTGTCTGGGAGCACAGCCTGGGAATCTATATTTTTAAGGAGCACCTTGGATGATTGTTGAAGTTTGAGAACTAGTGATTTCTCGCCTTTAGGTTGAGAGAACTGATGTGTCTTGACCTCAAATGGTGATATGCCTGGAACAACGAGTGTACACCTGTCCTTGCAGACCGGGCTAGGCTGGTCTTGGAGATCCCCCTCGCCCCTTCTTCCTGTAGATTCTTGCACACTTTCTGTTTGGGCACAATGGAGTAAGTGGCCTCGTCTGGGACTCCACTCCCTGTCCTAACGAGCCCCTGCACCATGACGTGCTCATCTCCAGAGATGACCTCGTCTCGCTTGCATCCACGTTCTCCAGCGTTGCTCGCTTACTCTCACCCCAGCACTGGCGGTGCCCTTGAGATCGTCCGTCTGTGACAGCATCAGGGCCACCCTGTCAGCCCATACAGAGGCAACCGTTCAACCTCTCCTTCACACATTATCAGAGAGGTCTAGAAACCAATTGGAAATACCACCTCTTTCGTTTCCTCAGAACACACAGTTTCTTCATTGGGAACTCCACTATATGATCCTGGCAAAAATTCTTGCCAAGAAATAGTCTTTATCAACTTCCAGTGAAAGCGTGTGTCTCTGCTGACTCCACGCCGCTGCGCTGAGCTCAAGAGCCTGAGTTCTCTCCACATTTCTCCTCCAGAGCCAGTTGCAGCGTGGTTGTGATTTCTTTGCTAGCAACATTTGTTTGACTTTTTCAAAGTTTAATTGCTTCCACATAGACATTTTTTCACAATGATCATTTCAAAATAAAATGATAATTTTCAAGTGCCCAGAGCATCTGCTGAGACCACTGCTGTGACCTCCACTGGGCAAAGCCGCTGTTGCATTGGCTCTGGTGGGGTTGCCCACACGTCACTCCCAGTCACTCTGTGGTCACCCACAGCACAGGGAGTATTAAGTATGTGCTGTGCTGTGGCACTGCTGTGACCCTAAGTGAAACCAGAGAAGCCCCAGGTCCAGATTTAGAAAGCAGCTTGAAAGCAACTGGTACTTTCTGCCGTCCAGTTGTATTTTGAGCTAAGGGCCTTGAACTCACCCTTTCATTGGGGAAGGAGCCTTCCCGGGGGCAGCAGTCACAGGGATGCTTTCTCAGCAGAAAGTCCGAGTCATGGAGAAGGCGGCCTGTGATTGTGGGTTCCATGTGACAACTCTGCAGATCTGTATCCACTGAAGAGCTGCCTGCTCACCAAAGAGAAGGAGCTGCTCCAGAGCAGTCAAAATACCAGTGACCCTGATTCTCCACGGTCTTTTGTCCCTCTGACTTTTCCCTCTTGCTGAAATGTCAGGTGATGTCTCTCATCACCAGAACATGCCCTGGATGGTCAGCAAAGGGGGCAGAGACAAAATCCAAATAGCTTCAACATGACACCCAATACCGTCCTGTA